CGAACTATGTCCACTTTCTTCGGGGTCTTCTATTCGTTTCTGACAAAGCTTCAAACGCTCTGGTCCAAATACGCCGGTGAAAGGTCGCTGGGTTATTTGAAACCCTTCTATATCTTTAATTACGTACCTATCATGGTCCAGGACTGAATTTACAATGTAAGGCCCTTTATTTTATACTTTTTTATACTTAGGAGCTAGTTTTTGATTAACGCCGGGAGTCGTTATAACATTCTTAATCATTACATGATCGCCGACATTATACACTGTGGGTTTCTTATGCTTCGCATCATATACCTGCTTGTTATAATCTTGTAACGCACGCGTTTTTACAATAGCTTTTCCTCGAAGCTCGCTTCGGTCTTTGTCTAAGTCTTGAATAGTATGAAAGTACTCTCTAAGGTTATCATCTGCGAAACCGTATTGATCGCTATCAAACATAATAGACTAGGTGTTGTGCCTATTGTCTTATGCAGCGTATTATTTAACGAGAACTGGCTCTTAGCCACGAAATCAGTCCATTTTCCCTCTGATGATAGTTTTGAAAGGATAGAACGCAGGAAACGATTAACTCGTTCTACTTGTCCATTACTCTGAGGGCAAGCGGTTGCTACTTTAACATGTTGAACATTTAACGGCTTCAAATAGTTGACAAATTCGTCGGAGACTAAAGAACTACCGCGATCAGAAACAATTCGCTTACACACTCCAAAATGACGGAAATATTCTTTCAGACAGGCGATTACCTCTTTTGTTGCCGTTGATTTTACTGGGTATATTACCACGTACTTTGTAAAGGCATCACAATTACGATAAAGATGTGTTTATACCCGTGTCCCATTTTTTCGAGGGGACCATAATGATCAATATGTAGCGTTTCAAATGGTCTAGTACCTTTATCGTATATGTGAAGTTTGCCTTCGGTCTTACCCGTGGGCACGGAGTATACTAAACACCTAATGCAATTCAAGATATACTCTTTTACACGGGCACGCATTTTGGGAAACCAGTAAGTCTTCCTAATTAGGTCAATCGTTTTTTTCCGGCCCGACGTGGCCTACCTCGTCGTGACATGTGCGTATTACTTCCTGAGTCATTGCATCAGGGACATAGAATAGAATCTCATTATCGTGCTTCCTAAACACAATTCCATTGCGCAGCTCAAATCTACTACATTCGCTAATCTCCAATTCCTTTTGAATCTTTCTAATAACAGGGTCTTGTATTTGCCTATACACTAATACTTCATCAAATGAAAGCGGCTCTATTACTAAAATGTTACGACTTAACGCATCTACATGTCGCATGTGATCACATGTACGGTGTTCGATCGTGTAGTTATAATTTTGTAACATCATGCACCATCTACTAATGCGCGGATTTATGTCTTTTTTCCGCAAAGCTAATTGTACTGCACTCGGTTATCACTACGAAGGATATTCCCTGAAGATAGACTCGAAATCTTTCAAGGGCGTAAACGATGGCCAGCGTTTCAAGCTCATAGCTATGATAACGACTTTCGGTGGCCGTAGTTCGTCGACTATAATACATAATAGGGTGCATGTGACCGTCTTGTTGGCGTTGTAGTAACACAGCACCATAACCATGAGAGCTGGCATCGGTATGCAATTCAGTATACGCTCTAGGATTATTCAAAGCTAGCACGGGATGATTAGACAACTTTTCTCGTAACGTTTCAAACGCATGTAACTCGCTCTCGCCAAATATAAAAGGTACATTCTTCCTAGTGAGATCATGCAAAGGTTTCGCAATTCGTGCGTAATTTACGATGAATTTACGAAAATAGCTAGTTAAACCTAAGAAGCCTTGCAATTGTCCTACGGTTTTAGGATGCGGAAACTTCTGGATAGCCTTTACTTTCGACTCGTTCAGCGTAATACCGTTCTTAGAGATATTGTAACCAAGATACTCTATTTCGCGTTTTAAAAATCGGCATTTACTGAAATTCAATTCCAAATTGTACCGAGTTAGCAAATGCAAAACTTCTTCGAAGATTGTTACATTTTCTTCAATCGTAGCTGTCGCAATCATAATATCGTCAAGGTATATCTGTATTTTCCTTGCATCTAATAATGGCTTAAGTACCATATTAATACACCGCTGGAATGCAGCAGGGGCATTGGCCAAATCGAAAGGTAGTCTCAAGTATTCGTACTGGCCGTCTGGCGTAACAAATGAAGTGAACTTCACCGAACTTTCATCTACTTGAATATGATGGAATCCATCTTTTAAGTCAAGACTTGTAAAGTACTACTTATCGGCTAGTTGGTCAATTAAATCTTCCATCAACGGAAGAGGATATCTATTTTTAACCGTAATTTTGTTAAGAGCTCTATAGTCAATGCACATTCGGTACCTTCCATCCTTTTTTTTGACGAGCACGATCGGACTACAGAAATTAGAGTTACTGGGTCTTATGATTTCCCTCTGCAGCAATCCATTGATGATATTCCTCACTTCCTCTCGCTCGTGCCATGAAAGACGTCTAGGTGTAAAATAAAATGACTTATTCTCGTCAGTTAACTGTATCTCAAACTTATAAGGGAGTTCCTCGATTTTTCCTGTAGAACAGAGGTGAGTGTTTAGTAAACTTAGCAATCTCTCTTTAACGTCATGGGGCAATGATACATCTAAATTATCAGAAACAGCGCTCAACGGACTCGCTTGCTCAATAGCTTCAATATTTAATATATCTTCCATAATATAATTGTGTGCTATACGCAAAGATTTATCTAATGTAACTGATATGCCGGGCATGCGTATAAATTCACGACCTAACAAAGCGTCATATGTCGTAGTTGAATCCGGAACGATAGCAAATTCTATAGAAAGGATATGATCAGGCAGCAAATGTAATCGGATTTTGGCCGTAATTGTCCCTATAATACATAAAGGTGATTTATTTATGCCTCCATAATTAGCAACGGATTCATTTTGAGTTAGCTTTTCATCGTTAAAATAATTTAAGTATGCGTTTTCGCTCATAATGTTTATTGCGCAACCGGAATCTACTAATGCTTCTAACAATAAGTAATATTCACTTTCGGAGCTTCTAGTAAATAACACGCAATACTCCCTGGTGGGGTTGGTTAGTGGTTTCCTATGATGTTCTACCGCAGACTTTTCCACGAGTGCCATTGTGTTACTCGCGCCACTCGCACTGTTATCTTCTTTGCTTCTTTGCTTCGATTCTTTTTTCGTCGGACAGTTCTTAAGTCGGTGATCCATCTTCCCGCAATTAAAGCAAGAACCTTTTTCTCGTTTTGGCTTAGGGCATGAAGCAGAAAGGTGCCCTTCCTGATTGCAGTTATAGCATTTTGCCGATGCACTTTGTCGGTCCGAGGTTTCCTTGCGATCAGTTCCAAGCTTCGATTTCGTAGAGGAAAGGATATTCTTCTTACCATCAGTTTGCAATGTAATGTTTTCGAAAGCTTCGAGTAGTAAGTTGAGTGACTTGAATCGCTGCATTCGTGCGTGATCCCGCAGTCGCATATTCGGAATACCCTCTATGACGTATTCAACAAGTTCTTCTTCCTCAAGGGACAGTCGATTTCCAAGGACGATCTTATCATGGTGATATTCACGGTATGCTTCGTCGACTTTCCACTTTCTCTCTTCGAATTTACGTCTTAGTGCAAATCTGCCAGGCCGATGTTCAAACATCTTTCTCATTTCATCAAGTAGGCTTTCGGCATCCAACTCGATGAATTCTGCTTTAGAATGTAACCAAATTGCCGCTTTACCCTTTACTTTGGCGCCGATCAGCAGCTTCGTTGAGTTGTCATCGAGATCATACGTAACTCGCAGCTTCCTAACCTCTCTTTCCCATACTAGGAAAGTATCTTCCGTTCCGTGAAACTCGGCCAAATAATCACCGATCGACTTTAACGTGATATTCGACGTCCTAACGACGTTTCCAGATGTTTCTGAACGAGGGGTCTGTCTTAGTATCTCGTTCTCTCTCCTTGCAAGC